TTAGCAATAAAGCATCTCAGTGGCGTGCTGGGAGCATCATTCAGACAAGAACCAGCTGGAAGAGAGAGCCCAGCTGAGGCACAGTAGAGCCTCTCTTCTCAGTGCCTGAGTCAGAGAGGGCGTCAGGCAGATGGTAGGTCACAAATAGCAGGGCTTTCTGTCCGCAGTTCCAGCCAACTGGAAGGTCACTGATTAATGAAAGAAATGAAGGGACAGGAGGATGCGGTTGGGCCGGGGAGTCATCCTTAGCTACGTCCCGAGGCTGAACAAAGTGAGGGACGTCGGAGTGTTCCTGCCTCCGTGTCTAGTGATGAGGCTCGAGTACACGGTGAGTTCTGGAGCTGAGTTTGTGAATCGAGTGCACCGGGGCAAGTTCATTGACTTGTCTCTCTCTTTCCCAGGCACAACTGTGAGAGACAGAAACATCGGAATAGCCATTTTCTTTTTTAATTTAAATTTTAAAAATTTAATCAGTTTGTTTTTTAAAAAAACAATTTCACAGACCTACAGAGCACGTAGCCTACATTCCAATCGCTCCATCGCCTTCCCGGGAGTGCTGCACCACCACCATCAATCCCAGCACACATCTTCTTCCTTGCACCAGCTGCTGTCAGCCGCCAGTTCCCACCAGCCTCCCCTGCCGCGTCTTTTTGAATCTGTCGATCCCATTGTTGCCTTTCTAAGTTTACCTAAGATGGGTTTCCCTATCTAGTAAAGCCTACAGAGTCAAGACAGGATGTAAACAAATACACCAGGAAACAAAACAAAACCAAAATCGCTAACAAAGCAGAAAACATTAAAACCTGGAGCCAGGAGACATGAGGTCAAGCAAGAGCTCTGGGACAAGGTGTCATAGGAGGACCTAGCTGCACTTGCAGTCACCCGGCCTGCAGTGCACTCCAACAGCCATTTGCACCCACAGCTGTCTTGCTCCACTTGGGAGCCACCTGGGATCACTCAGACACCAGCCCCACCCCCGGGGATCTGAAGGCCATTGCTGTGGCCACAGCTCAGGCCCAGGAGTTTTGGTGGCAGTGGTTTAAGTCTTTGGATCATTCAGAGCATAGCAGAGGTTGAGAGCCACAGAACCAGGGCCAGCCAGGCATGAATTTATATAAGTTCTGTAACTTAAGATAACCCCTCAGGGGTCTCGGGGAGGAGATGAGCCAGTCAGGGTGCGATGTAACAATGATGAGAAATACAACTTTCCTCTAGTTCCTAAATGTTTCCTCCCCGCTCCCACTACCATGACTCGAATTCGATCTTGCAAGTCTGGCTAGACCAGAGGAGGTACACTGGTACAGATAGGAACTGAAAATACAGGGAATCCAGGACGGATGAGCCCTATAGGACCAGTGGTGTGAGTGGCAAAACAGGGAGGGTAAAGGGAGAATGGGTAGGAAAGAGGGAACCGATTACATGGAACTGTGTGTGACCTCCTCCCTGGGGGACAGACAACCAAAAAGTGGGTGAAGGGAGACGTCGGACAGGGCAAGATATGACAAAATACCCATTTATAAACTATCAAGGGCTCATGAGGGAAGGGGGAGCGGGGAGGGAGGGGAAAAATGAGGACCTAATGTCGGGGGTTTAAGTGGAGAGAAAATGTTTTGAGAATGATGTACAAATGCGCTTTACACAATTGATGTGTGTATGGATTGGGATAACAGTTGTATGAGCCCCTAATAAAATGTTAAAAAAAAAAAAAAAGATAACCCCTCAGAGCCTCAGCATTCTCATCAAACACTAACAGACTATCAATACCTACCTGCTGAAGTGATTGAAGGCATTACTATGTAAAGGCCCTGGTTCACATACAACGATGGGGGGCGGGGGGCACATAGGTATTGCTAATATTAAGACTCCTTTTACGGTGATGAAAAATGATACTTAATTTGGAAATGGAAAAGAGCGGTGGAAAATAGGGGTGAGAAAAAAACAAAACAAACAACTTTGAAAAAACATCATTTCGTTGGGGACTCTTACAGTGCTTAGAACATTCTATACATCAATTGTATCAAGCACATTTGTACATATGTTGCCATCCTCATTTCAAGACATTTTCTACTTGAGCCCTTGATAGAAGCTCCTCTTTCCCCCCCTCCCTCCCTACGCTCCCATCCTTATGAATCCTTGATCAATTATATATTGTTATTATTATTTTGTATCTTACACTGTCCATTGTCTTCTTTCACCCACCTTTCGGTTATTCGTCCCCTTGGGGGCTCTATATCCAACCTTGTGAAGGGTTCCCCCGTTCTCCCCCTCAGAAAGAACTTTTGATGGCGTGTGGGCCCTTGACCTGGGATTCACAGAGAGGGAAGAGGTGGAAGCCTTATAAAATCTTTGAGATAACGTTATAATCTTATCAGTTAACTCCCATAATTTTGCCCCTCTTTGTGAAAATTAGGCCTTTAATTAAACTTTTAAGTTTGAGATCGTTTTAGATGAACATAGATAATGGTAAGATAGCCCCCTGTTTTCGCGGACTCACTCTGAATTTTGTACTACTGTTGTTAGGTCCTGTCGAGCCAGTCCTGGCTCAGAGCCCCCGGTACACCACAGATCCAGACAATGCCTGGTCCTCTACTGGCCTCCCAAGTGTTGCTGTGTTTGAATCCATCGTTGCAACCACTGCGCCAAACCATCCCATTAAGGGGCTTCCTCTTTATTACCGACCTGCTACTTTACCTAGCATAATGTCCTTCGGCTCCACGTCTGAAGCATGGGAAACAGAGTCCGATCCTCTTCCCTCTTAAGAGGCAGCGAGCTGTGCTTCTTCCAAGCCCGGCTTGCTCGTTCTTCTGTCCATCCACGGCTTAGTCACTATCTTTACAAGCACCGTACTGCCATCACACCCATTCTCGCCTGGTCTTTCCGATCCTTGTCCAAGGTTCACAGACACACGAAGCGATTGGAAGTACCCTGATGTGGGATGGGCACACCTGAGCGCTCAAACTGACATCTTTGCCTCTTAACACGGTAGGAAGATCTTTTGCTTACTGAGCATGCCATCTGAATAAGTATGGTGAAAGGATATGGTACACACCTATCCTGATTTTAACCCATCCGTATCCCCTTGTTAGGTTCAGTTGCCTACCTCTGATTCTACGGACAGGCTTGATAGGAGCACAGTAAAATGTCCTGGAATCCCCCTTCTTCCCAATGTCACCCAAAGTTGGCTTTATTTATTTATTTATTTTTATGGTCCACCTAGTAGAACGCGTTTGCATAGTCAATGAAGTACAAGTAAACATCTTTCTGGTATTCTCTGCTGTCAGCAAGATCCTGCTGGCATCCCTCATTTTTTGTCCTCTTCTAAATCTGGAGCGAATTTCGGGCAGTTCCTTGTTGCTGCAATCGCTTTTTAATTGTCTTCAGTATAATTTTACTTGCATGCGATATTGATGATGTTGTTTGATAACTGCTGCATTCTGTTGGATCACCTTTCTTAGGAATGGGCACTCATGAATCTCTTCCAATCAGCTGGCCAGGTAGCAGTCTTCCAAATTTCTTGACCTAGACAAATGAACACTTCCAAGGTTATATGTTTTCTCTGTTTATTGAAACCAGGACTTCAATCAGGTTAATTCTGGTTCCACCCCTGCGGAGAATGTGCACATCACCCCAAATGTATTGAATAAGATCCTGGTATTTAACAAGTTCCCCAGGTGATTCTGGTTGAAACATTTCAACTGGGATTCCATCAATTTCCTGGTTTTCAACCATGACTTCAGTGCAGCTTGAACGTCTTCCTTCAGCACCGTCCCTTCTGGATCATGTCCTCCTGTAATGCTTTTGTTCCCTGAGCTCGAGCTCATGAGGCAATGGCTTAATGTCCCTTACACACTGCCCCATCATCCTGAACAGTGGGTTGGACATTGACAGCAGAAAGAGCCCTTGCCTTGTTCTCTACGTCTTCACATGGACAATGCAGTGTAATGGGACTGGGCACCAGGAGCCTGGACACCTGTTCTCTGCATCTATAAAATGAGATCTGCCTCTCCTTCCTTGCCTTGCTTTGAAAAATAAAACAGCTGGATTCAGGCAGTCCAAACTGACTGACCCCTTACTTGGCTCCTAGATTTTGAGAAAAAAAAAACCAGCCAACATTTCTTTTGAACTCCCAAGAGAAATGTGGTTTATTCAAGATGTCATTTTAATCACCAAGTTTGACAAGACTCAGCACACGGCGCTAACAAAAACCAACACAGCTGGGCAGTGTATGAATCGTGCTTGCTTGGTGAGGAAAAGATCATTGGCAGGAGCCCTCACCGGGAGGAGAGGGCCACTGGCTTCTCAGAGTGTTTACTCTCCATTAAGTTATTGGCCACACAGCTGTGTGAATGGATTTTTCAATCTTCTAGCCCCGAGGTGCATGACCATGCCAGTTCCAAGAACATGACCTGCCTTTATGACCAGGTAGTCAGGGGCAGGCAGTGAGAACAGGGCTGCGAAAACTCATTACCATCTTCACCTGTGGCTTGAATTTGGGATTTTCTTCTCGTTGTTTCTATGATTTGATTTCCTAGGGAATGAAATAAGAGATATTGTTTCTTATACTCTCACTCACCATCATCATCTCAGCTTGATTAAAATGCTTTTCAGAGGGTAGCTGCTCAAGACTGGCCTCTCCCATTTACTAGCTGCGTTGCCCTACATCAGACCCTTCTCATGTTGAGCCTTGGTTTGGTTTTCCCTGAAACCGGCACAAAATTGCACCTGGCCGTTGCTGACTCGTAGACTGTATGAGATTTGAAGGGATGAGCGCTGTCTCATCTTTCTCCTGCCCTGTACTTTTCCTCTGGGTTCTATAAATAATGTTCGTGGCCCCATGGACATCACAGATAAAGCTCACAATGATAGGGTTTATTGTGGAAGTTAACAGGTTACCATGCAGGTGAGAATTGCTGCTTGCAGGGCTTCAGATAAATGATCAAAGGGAACCCTAGGCCTGAAGGTATTCAGCTCTAGATCTGTGGATCAGCAAACCCAGCTCCCTGAATTAAGTGCTCAGGGCACCACACTCCACAAATCAGCCTCCTGCCCCCAAACACTCTACCTCTGTGTGAGGCTGAGAGGTACACCTCTACAGCTCTACGGCTGTCTCGGGCTCAGACTTCTGGATCTGCTGCTGATTCTGCTCCTCTGCCACTTCTTAAATGGCAGTGCTGTCTTCTGCATCCAGGAGACTCACAATCTTGGAATCTTCTGGATTCAAGAGAGTCACTCCTCAGGGATTTCAGGGTCCAGAGGACATGCTCCACTCCCATTCTTGCTCCCAGTAAGACTCCCTTCTTGCTTCTGAGAGGGCTCATTTTATACTCAGTGTCATGGCAATCACAATGGATCCTGTTAATGCTGACTGACAAGTGAATCTGATCAGGGTCTTCCTCCGATTTCTCATACCCAGATCCACGCAGTAAAGGGTCTTTGGTGGGAGTTCTAGTCCCCAAGACTCAAAGAGCCACCTTAAATACTTCACTGCCCCCGCAAGGGACCATGGGGATGAAAAATGTTGCACTTTGCAAAAATGTGCATCATTTTTACTGAGGATGAGGCTTCCCTTGGACCACCGAGAACATGGGATGGTACATCAAAGACTTATGAGCTTAATGATTTGAAGTCCTCAAATGAATAGAAATGCCCTTTGTCCCAGGTGTGCTCTAGACCCTCCGGCCACAATTCACTTGCTTTGGGGTTTGGCAGTTTCACGATGCTGTCATCCCCGCAGTCGTTGCGTGGGCTTTGGAGTCCAGTTTTGCATTATCCCTGGAGGAGACAGCAGAGCAGAGTATCAGAGAAGCCTCTTCATGGAGAGCCATCCAGCTGGCTGCTGCCTCTGCCAGCATTCCCTCTGGGCTCAGGGGAGGTGCAGGAGGTGGGCAGGCCCCCAGGCCTCAGCTGCATGGGCGGGGAGGATATGGCATCGAGATTCACAGAATCAGGTCTCACTCTGGCTCACCTTCAACTCTGCCCTTCAGATCAGGAAAGGGAGGAGGGTTTGGAACAGAGTGGGTGAGAGGCAGATGTCTCTCTTTTGTGGATGCAGGCTTGGCCACGGGAAGTAGGTCTTAGGTCCATGTGCTAAAGGTCTGGGTGTGAGTCTGCAGCTTGAGACAGGGCTGGCTTGGGTCCTGCAAGGGAGAAGAAGGAGGCTGGTGAGCGGGTCTCATGGTGCACAGCCAGGGATGGTGTAAGCAAAGGAAATGACAAGGTCTGACACGTGCGCGCATGGCACCTGACATGTTTCCTTACTGATTTCTGCTCGCTCTGTTTCTCGCAGCAGTGTCCTGGTCAAGCGGATGTTCAGGCCGATGGAGGAGGAGTTTGGTCCAGCCCCTTCTAAGCAGATGAAAGAAGAAGGGATCAAGCGAGGTACCTGTCTGCTCAGGAC